ACTGCAATCTTTTGACATTTATTTTATATGGGATAAAAATTTTATTGAAACGCCTTGATTTGGTACCATATAGATGCAGTATTAAAGCATCTATCGCCACCTATAACTCAGAAGCTGAATTAATTGGATAATATTCCTTTTGAAATTTTGCTCCTCATATGACATATATTATTTTAATTTCTTACCGTATTTATTCGTTAATTTGATTATTAAATTCATCAAAAGCCATTAGGCAAATAATTTATAAGATTATTGTAAATTATTGGGTAAATTGGTAAATTTTTTATAAAGAAACATAAGTTGAGGTTTGTCTTTCATATCTTTTTTCATTTACTGGGTTTGTGGGGGAAAAAGAGCATAGTTTGGCTACTATATAGAACCAGTTGGCGCCTATCTTTTGTCTACTATATCCGGATTTTTTTATAGCTGCCGTCTGAGCGACGTCGAAGGCCCGAAGGTTTACACCAGAACAATCAAAACTTGTGTAACCTAGCAGACAGGATTTTATTGATAAAGTTTTTTTTTTACTTTTAAAGTTTAATTTTAGGCAATTCCCTTCTGGAAGTTACTTAGAACTTTTGGTAGGTTACACCGTAGGTCCTTTGCCATACTTAATTCGTGTAGATATGCGTAGAATTAGTTAGAGAGTCATCTTCTTTAGTAATTGGTCCATAATCAAGAGACGGCATTATTTGCTCAAGAATAAAATCAAATGAAATTATCCAATATTTGAAAGTAAAGGACAGTAAAAATTCAGAAAATGTTTTTTTTTATTACTATGTTTTTTGTACTTGATGAGTTAGCTTTTTATATTTGAATTGTAAGCTTTTATGTGTGATTTTTTAGTTTTTTATGTTTGATTTCTTTAGGTACCTTTTACCATTTTTTAAATAAATGTATTCAGTTTTAATCGTGTAATATTTATTTGTTCAAGTAATTTTTACCTTATCTTTTAAAGACAAAAAGATTAAATATTGGTTAAAAGGGGTAGTAGAGAGCTGAAGATGTTATTTAAAAATATGAAAAATAAGGAGTTTGAATACAAACACTAAAGTGTAACTTTAAGTAGGTATTGTACGTCAAAATTTCAAACTAACTTTTCGTCCCAAAAGGTGGAGGTAGTGGGCGCAAGTTCTGATAGGTGTTATAAACTTAATTTTTATATTTTTTGAAAATACTCAATACAAACCACCTTATTTTTTTCCCGTATTCGAATTTACAGTGGTCGAAAACCCTATATTTTTTAGTCGGCACGAATGCAATAGTAAGTAATTTTAAATCCGCAATTCAAATTAACTCAAAGTCAGATGTAAATAGATATTTAATAAACAACTATCTCTCTATATCCTTTTATATTTACGAAACAAGGACTATGTATCCACTTTGAAACCCTCAATTACATATATATTTTGTAACAAATTCTGAGTAAACAGCTAAAGTTCATAAATCGGGACCGAATGCTTTTCAGTTACAGCTACAGTTTCGAGTAGTAAAACTAGTTTTAAACTCGAGAGAAACCACCAGTTAAACTGAGAAGGAACTTATCTTTGACATTACGTTACTTTGCGTCAAAGCTTTGAAGGGTTTATTACTTCTTATAATGAACCAAAATACTCTCTATGGGGCATGTTATTTATTAACACGGTTGTATGTTTGAGGGTCAAAAGTTTTTAGAGTTAAATATTTGAATAGGAGTAGATTAAGCGCAAAAATGTTCGCTGGTTAGGTATTGGTAAAATTAAAATTATAATAAATAGTTTTTAAACTAAGAATTTTGGCTCAAATCTATTTACAGTCTCAAGTAGCAATTTTGAGAACTATTATTGTTTAAAAAACATGTACACAACAAATATTATAGAACAAGTTTTGTTTTAAGAATACTTTAAACAGAATTATACAAGAATTATAGAGCGAACATAGGCGCAGTTTTTAGTATACTTGCATCCTATAAGAGATCTTATAAGTATTACAGGGAGAATAGTTCTAAGAACATTTTTGCAACCATTAAGACTGTTACCACATCATTACAGAACTTCTCGTAAATAATACCATCGTGGTTTAAAAAATTGTAAATAAATAAATATTTTTAAGCTATTGCATAGCTTTTATCGCAGGCTTTGAGTGGCGACCGAATCAAGAAATTTCGTAACACCGTAACGAAAAAACCTAACACCACCACTCCGACCGGCACAGCGGTACGGCTTTATACCCATGGAAGGTTTTATCCGACCCTATTCGTATTAGTATGAAGCGGAATTAAATATACGTCTACGGACTGGAACATTTATGCAATACAAGAACTAGAAGAGCTTTCTTTGGCTTCTAATAAATTGGTATCACAAATGTTCCCGGCTGGCGTAAATATTAGATATTATTTTTAAGCTATTGCATAGCTTTTATCGCAGGCTTTGAGCGCGGCGATCGAATCAAGAAATTCCGCGAAAATAAACCATTTTCTGCATTGTCTAACGTCGTTTCAGTTCGGCAGACTTCGGCACGGTATTTGTGTGCGTGCGACTAGACGTATGTGTGTAGACTAGCTGCTAACTACTCATAACTGATTCTATCTCTTTTAGACCCAATGCTAGGTGAGACAGCGTGCTTTTGGCCGCGTCCACGAGTGAGTTCGAGCCCTCTGGAGTTGTACAGTATATTTTTTCTAGGAAAAATCGAAAAATCGAAAAATCGAAAAATCGAAAAATCGAAAAATCGAAAAATCGAAAAATCAAAAAATCGAAAAATTGAAAAATCGAAAAATCGAAAAATCGAAAAATCGAAAAATCGAAAAATCGAAAAATCGAAAAATCGAAAAATCAAAAAATCGAAAAATCGAAAAATCGAAAAATCGAAAAATCGAAAAATCGAAAAATCAAAAAATCGAAAAATCGAAAAATAAAAAAATCGAAAAATCAAAAAATCGAAAAATCGAAAAATCGAAAAATCGAAAAATCGAAAAATCGAAAAATCGAAAAATCGAAAAATCGAAAAATCGAAAAATCGAAAAATCGAAAAATCGAAAAATCAAAAAATCGAAAAATCGAAAAATCGAAAAATCGAAAAATCGAAAAATCGAAAAATCGAAAAATCGAAAAATCGAAAAATCGAAAAATCGAAAAATCGAAAAATCTAAAAATCGAAAAATCGAAAAATCAAAAAATCGAAAAACCAGAAACATCAACGTCTTAATACTACTATCGTTCCAAGTTATATCAAATCTCGTTTTTTTACGCTACGAGTTTATCCTTGTGGGCCTCAGTCTCGATAAGGTGGAAACCACCATTTTAGCGTCTTTCGAATTTAATATTTGCTTTTTCGATGAGTGTATATTTCATTTGAATGGAACTTTGAATAGGCATAATTGCCGTTTCTGGGATGATAGTAACCCACATTTATTCTGTGAGTATCATACCCAACACCCTGAAAAACTAAATGCCTGATGAGGCGTATTAGGTAACCATATTCTAGGACCACTTTTTAGTCCTGAAAATTTAACTGGTGAAGTGTACCTAAACATGCCTAAAGATAAAATTGATCCTCTTATAACAGAAATATTAGAAGATGACCCAAATCAAGATGTTGATCAGTTTCATTTCCAACAAGATGGAGCACCTCCGCACTATGTTGGTGCTGTAAGAGAATTATTAAGTAATCGCTACCCTGGATAGAGGATTGGAAGCATAGGACTAATTGATAAGGTCACCTGATTTATCGCCTCTGGACTATTTGCTTTGGGGACACTTGAAAAATAAATGTTTTGCTACGAAGCGTAATTTCATAGAAAATTTTCGCCAACGGATAATAGCTGAGTGCAGGAGAATAACACCTGAAATTCTACAAAATGTTCGCAATATATTTGATCAAAATTTGTATCATTGGGGTCAAATGGGTCACATTTTCAACACCTGTTAAATTAAGTTAACGTTTGAATAAATCTTAAAAAAATCAATTTTACAGTTTATTACTTTTTTAGAAAGTAGGTAAACTTCAAAAACTAACAAAATTGAAATATAATTTCCTATTTAAATGATATTTCTTATAAAATTACCTTTTCAAAAATGTGCCACTCTTGGGTACTTTAATTATTCAAATTTTAGGAGTTGTTCATCCCATACTCGAGGCTCGAAGCGTCGATGCTGAAATTAGGAAAAAATGTGTCTTGCTCCAAACAAAAATCGACGTGTCCAAGCATTTCTGCTTCTAGGTGCATAATTTTCACCTTCAAGAGAGCACAAATATCGATATTTGACGCAACAATATTGGCATTACGGAATTTCTTATAAAATTATCTTCTTAAAAATGTGCCACACTTAGTACTTTTCCTAACTAAATTCTAGGGGTTGTTCACCCCACTTCTCGAGGGTTTAAGTGTCAATGATGCAATTAGGAAAAAATGCGTCCTCCTCCAAACAAGGATCGACGGGTCCGAGAATGTCTTCCTTCAATCTGAGGGAACCAAGAAAAGGGTGGTGGATACTTTTCATTGAACCACACTGTATTTCCTGTGGTTGAAAAAGACGTTATAAAAAAAATACGTCCTAATTTTCGATCGTTTTTATCGAAATCAGGAGTGAAACCTAGCAATTTTTTGTGATTTTAAATGCTCATAGTCTCGTGTTAATTCAAGTGGCCACAACTACCATTTTACTTTTAATAAAGGTACGATCACTACGTATGGCAACAATGTATTTTTATCCATCTCTATAACTTTCATATAACCCGAGATTTTACGTTTAGAAGTGTATGCCTGATTTTTTTACGCATATTAAGCAGGCAATATTAATTTGTTGAACTTATAATACGTATTTTTGCATACGCCACAACTGATTTTACTTTGAACTTTTCGTTTGTGTAACTAATACACAAATAGAAAAACACGATTCATTTCTTTTATTAAAGTATAAAGTAACATTTATAAAGGAAACTTAATTTATCTGTATCCGACTGCCTGTTATATCCAAGTATTAAACATGAAATAACACGTTATCCTTCATCATTTCCAGGTGGAGTTCGTTGCAGACACATTGAGGTTAAACCTACTGGAATTGGGCAGGTCGGGCAGCCATCTTATCCAAGTGGTCGGCAGACTGGACTACAAATGTCCTGCGGGAGAAACTCATGACCCTGTCACGTTCACCACAAGAGAATCACATTTGGTAAGTATCCACCGATTGCGGTATATTACGGATGTACCGTTTCAGACAAATTCAGGGTAATGTTAAAATATATTTATTGCGCATAATTTTCTATAAATTGCCAAAATGATTTTAATTTATTTAGTCAAACCGCCGACACTGTGTAAAAAAAACAAAATTAAATATTTTCATGTAATTTTCAATAAAATATATAACTCATGCTGACCCTGCCATTATTGCTGAAAATAGCTACACAAATCAGCAGTTATTTTATTTTAATTAAAGCATAAAAATAATTGGTTAATTTTTAAGTAAATGTATATAACTAGTAAGCTAAACCATTGTAATTTACATTAGAATCGCAATAGAAACGGAGTAATAAATTAAAATCTGTGATTTTAAAGAGCCGGTAGTTAAAAGGTTTGGTTTTATTAAGAATTTTACCTGTGCCGCCCGGTTTCGTGGAACATAAACAATAGGCTACCCTCATTTTAATCCCTTTCAAGACACCTATGAGCGCACGGTTGAGTAAATTAGGGGTATTTGTTTGTATTATTATTTTTTTTGTTACTATTTTAAACGTAAATAATTGTAATTTAATCGCCAAAGTGCTGTGATTATAACATTTAGATATAAAATAGATATGCTTACCTACTCTCGAAGATCAGGAATCGTGAAAGTCTCTGAATCACTATATTCACGTTATGAGTCAATCTTTACTGGTAATATTAAAGGTGGCACTGTAAAGGCGGGTACAGATCTGAGCACGTACGCGTATAAGGCAAGCCGAGGTTGCATGAGCATGCAGATATGAACGGGCTTCCGATGAGCAGCAAATTGCCTCGTTGTGTACGCCGTACGCCCTCGCCCCGATCTGTTTGTAGGCGGTACATCAAAGGGAGGCAATGCGCAGTACGTGCTCAGTCTGGATATCTTAAGGCGAGAACAGATCTGAGCACGTTCGCGTATGAGGCAAGCCGAGGCCGAACCGAATGCCTCGTGCGGAGCATTTTGTACATACAAATGATAATCGCATGAGGCACTGCTCGCTATTGATCCAGTGAATTCGCGAGCACGGATCCGTACACCTAGAACACTCATATAATTAAAACAAAAACAGAGGTCTGGTAGTTGAGTGCATGTTTTATTATTTTGTCTTGCTTTCCATAAAACATCTCTCTGATTATATACATCCAGGAGAAGAAAAACCTTTTCCTGACTCCACTTCATCAAAATAAACCTTGAAAACTGGCTATAATCTATTCGGTACAAATTTCCCGTCCACACTGAGCACGTACTGCGCATTGCCTCTCTTTGATGTACCGCCAACAAACGTCGCAATTTGCCGCTCTTCGGTAGCTCGTCCACATCTGCATGCTCATGCGTCCTCGGCTTGTCTTATACGCGTACGTGCTCAGATCTGTACCCACCTTAAATGCGGGTACAGATCTGTGCACGTACGCGTATGAGGCAAGCCGAGGACGTATGAGCATGCAGATGTGAACGGACTTCCGAAGCGTGGCAAATTGCCTCGTTGAGTACGCCGTACGGCCTCGCCACCGTACATAAACAAAGAATAGTAAATCCACTCTCCCAGTCGCCTTTGAAGTTTTTTGCACACAAGCTTGCCGCCGTTTTTGTCTCTTCACACACATTTTTGGGCATACAGGTGTATTAAGAAGCAGCGAGCACAGGCTGATTGCATGCTCTTTCGACTGGCGGCGTTGGACCGGTCTGTACAGAGAGTGGATTTACTATTCTTTGTTTATGTACGGTGGCCTCGCCCCGATCTGTTTGTTGGCGGTACATCAAAGGGAGGCAATGCACAGTACGTGCTCAGTCTAGACGGGGAATTTGTACTATACAGCACCGTACAGATTAGAGCGAGTTTTTAGGATATATTTTGCATGGAGTTGAAGCAGGAAAACGGTTTGCTTCTCCTGGATTTAAATAATAAGCGGGTTATTTTAAGAGAGCAAAACGCCAGTTCTATTACAATGCCATAAAACAAGAATATTCTTGGCAGGAATTCGGCCATCGATTCCTTTCTCTCCTTTTTTCTTTAATGTGTCGGATAAAATAATAAAATATGCACTCAACTCCGCGACGTCCTCCTCCTTCTTTATTTTTGTTTTAATTTTACGAATGATCTGGGTATACGGTTGCGTGCTCGCGAATTTTCTGGATCAGTGGCGAACACCGCCACGTGCGTTCACCATTCGTGTACACAAAATGCGTCACAAGAGGCATTTGGTTCGGCCTCAGCTTGCCTCATACGCGTTCGTGCTCAGATCTGTACCTGCCTTAATATCGACATCCAAGACTTTGTCCACATTCCATATGTTTTCTTCTTCTTTTAACATATACTCTATTGCCTTTTGCCGATTTTCCTTCGTAACAAATGATATGGAGGTTTCTAACAATGCTTTTAACTTAAATGTCATATTATGTCGACCTACATATCCTTTAACTTGTGCCGATATCGGTTCAATAGGATTCAGTTTGCAGTGATAGGGAGGAAGACGAACAAAATCAATACCATGTGTTTTTGCAAGTTCATCCACTACATAACGTACTAAAGGCTTATTTAATTTCACAATTTCTAGTAGTTCTATTTTTATTGATCTTTCTTCCATGAAGTATTTGGCACACTTTCAAATAGACGGGAATGGTAACTAGCATTATCCATTACTATAACTGAACCCTTTGGTGAATGCTTTATCACCTGCTAAAAAAAATTCTTTACAAAAATTAGCGTTTATATCTTCATGGTAGTCTCCGGTGTTTTCAGATTGAAATATTAAAGAACCACGTTCTAAAAACCCGTCATTTTCAAAGATTATATGTTTGTGTCATGCCACATTTTGCTAACTGTGTAGCCTTCGTTCACCCCCAGGTTTCGTCCAACTAAAATATTTTTTTGCTTTCTGCACGTAATTAAAAAATGGTTCTGAGGTATCTCCGTATCCAACAAACAATTTCCTTAGAATCAATAAGTGCTGTTTTCCTGTCATGTTTATCCTACTTGATTTTCAAATCTATTAGTGTTTCCCAAAGTTTTGTCTTTCCCATTTTAGGAAAATACGGATCACTATTGATTGCGTTCAAAACCTTGGCAAGTGTTGATATCTCTTTTTTTAAATGAAATTTTTGAACTTCTCTTCTTATTCCGCTTTTAATTTGTTCAGTAAATTCCACTTTTTTCTTTACTCCTGCATTTTTCTTTTGGGGTTTAACAACTCTACTTTTTAATTCACTTATAACTTTATATATCGTTGATTTGCTTACATCCATTATATTATTTGTCTTTTCAACAGTACCGTCAACAGAAAACGAAGGATTTTCCATTATGAGGCAATTATAAACATTGCTTACAAATATTTTCTCGTTAAGTGACATGCACACTTTTTTATTCCTTTTCACAGGTATAAATTTGAACTTGAACCACACTTGCATTTTTCAATGCTACTGTCACTATTAACCGAAAATAACCACAACTTTTTACTATAATAGATAATATAGAAGGCTAATCAAATAGGGTAGGTAATATTGAGAACTGATTAAGATACTAGGTAGGTAACCATCCTATAATCTCACCCCTTGTTATCATTTTGGTTTTTCCATGGCATTAGTAATCTCCAAGATGATAAAATAACGATTAACCCTTTGATTATAGATTTCATGACATCAAAAATTTCCATGAAGTCAATGATGAATAACGATTTAAACAATAGTCAAATTTATAGGTCTTGAAAAATATTTGTTAGGGGAAACTGGGACATATTGGGCTCCTTAACAAATGTACTTGGTAAAATTGTTGTTTTTTAGGATAAAGCAAAAATTAAATGCGAGATAAAAAATGAAACATTTATTCTTTAAATACAAACAAAACTGAGTCTCCAAACATCAAAACAAATGTAATTCAGAACAATGAAAAAATATGGTAAATGCCCGTTTTGTCCCGACGTATGGGGCAGATTGGGCACAGACTAAGGTCAAAATGGGCTATGTATTTAAATGATTATAATAATTGTTTTGCTTGCAAAACTGACAAATATGGCTAAATTCTTCATCGTTATCGTCGTCACCAGCACAAGAACAGTGAGCCCATTGTTTACATGATCCACATGTTACCCATCCTTCGTCTGATTGATAATACCAGTATCCACAATATAAGCATTCAACATCTGATGTGTCACTGTCTGAGCTTTCTGGATATTGAGAATTAGTTTTATTGCAATTTTTTTTTATTATGCTTCTTTTTAGCAGGTTTTGCGCTGGGTTCTTCATTATCGCTATGACATAATATTCTTCTCTTTTTTTTGCCTCTGATAACTGGTTTTCTTTCTCTAAACTTGCTTCTATAAGTTCATTATTATAGGGAGAATCTGTTAGCATAACATGTTGATGTCAGTCTTGGGAATTTGCATGATTTCGCTAGGCGGCGAAAACTTGAAACTGGTATCGATAGTGGATGGACCAGGTGAGAAAGCATCATAATCAACTGTACTTGAGAGCTCTGGCTGCCGTGATGCTTTTCTGATATTCTGAATATTAACTGTTTTATCTGTATGATCACATTCCAATGTATTTGAAGGCCCTGGCTGGGGTAATGCTTCTCTGCAATTTTGCACTACAGCTGTTTTATCTAAATTATCATATTCCGATAAATTTGAAGGACCTTGTGTAGTGCTTCGTACTACATATTACTCTTCTCTCTGTCATAATTACGTTGATAGATAAATGTTATAACCTTAAACCAGTCATCTCCACTTTGTCATTTCGACGTTTTATTTTTGTTATGTGAATGGCACTTTAGAATGTTTCGTGGTGGCATGAGACTCAATCCTGTTTCCTGCCAATGTCATAGAATTTCAAAGTTGATGACATTGGAAGTCACATCTGTTTTTGATTTGTGGTGTAGTAGGTGGGAAAACAATGGAGTGTGTGGTGGATAGCTGTGAAAAAAAAAAAAAGAAAGAGCAGAACAGCAAGAGACAAAAAACATCAACAAATTATTA